TAGAGGGACCAATCTACTTCGAGTGTAAACTAAACGAGCCAATGCACATTGGCATGCGATTATTGCATCCAGCTGCTGCTGATCACAGCGTGAGTATAAGTAGGCAGCAGATGCAGCGCATATTCAGGTTTTCGCTGAGGAGCCGAGCCGGTGACCCGGCCGCTCAGCGGTGGTACAGGAGCTGTGGCGACGGGACGTGACGTCTCCGTTCCCTCCTTCAGGGAACGAGGGTTACATACGTAACCGAGACGTTCCCTTTCAGTCGGTCACTCTCGACGTCACGTCGGATGACCGACGAATTGGGATCTCGCTTAGAGGGACCAATCTACTTCGAGTGTAAACTAAACGAGCCAATGCACATTGGCATGCGATTATTGCATCCAGCTGCTGCTGATCACAGCGTGAGTATAAGTAGGCAGCAGATGCAGCGCATATTCAGGTTTTCGCTGAGGAGCCGAGCCGGTGACCCGGCCGCTCAGCGGTGGTACAGGAGCTGTGGCGACGGGACGTGACGTCTCCGTTCCCTCCTTCAGGGAACGAGGGTTACATACGTAACCGAGACGTTCCCTTTCAGTCGGTCACTCTCGACGTCACGTCGGATGACCGACGAATTGGGATCTCGCTTAGAGGGACCAATCTACTTCGAGTGTAAACTAAACGAGCCAATGCACATTGGCATGCGATTATTGCATCCAGCTGCTGCTGATCACAGCGTGAGTATAAGTAGGCAGCAGATGCAGCGCATATTCAGGTTTTCGCTGAGGAGCCGAGCCGGTGACCCGGCCGCTCAGCGGTGGTACAGGAGCTGTGGCGACGGGACGTGACGTCTCCGTTCCCTCCTTCAGGGAACGAGGGTTACATACGTAACCGAGACGTTCCCTTTCAGTCGGTCACTCTCGACGTCACGTCGGATGACCGACGAATTGGGATCTCGCTTAGAGGGACCAATCTACTTCGAGTGTAAACTAAACGAGCCAATGCACATTGGCATGCGATTATTGCATCCAGCTGCTGCTGATCACAGCGTGAGTATAAGTAGGCAGCAGATGCAGCGCATATTCAGGTTTTCGCTGAGGAGCCGAGCCGGTGACCCGGCCGCTCAGCGGTGGTACAGGAGCTGTGGCGACGGGACGTGACGTCTCCGTTCCCTCCTTCAGGGAACGAGGGTTACATACGTAACCGAGACGTTCCCTTTCAGTCGGTCACTCTCGACGTCACGTCGGATGACCGACGAATTGGGATCTCGCTTAGAGGGACCAATCTACTTCGAGTGTAAACTAAACGAGCCAATGCACATTGGCATGCGATTATTGCATCCAGCTGCTGCTGATCACAGCGTGAGTATAAGTAGGCAGCAGATGCAGCGCATATTCAGGTTTTCGCTGAGGAGCCGAGCCGGTGACCCGGCCGCTCAGCGGTGGTACAGGAGCTGTGGCGACGGGACGTGACGTCTCCGTTCCCTCCTTCAGGGAACGAGGGTTACATACGTAACCGAGACGTTTTTTGAAAGGAAGAGATATATAGGGGCATATGAGGACACTATTGCACCATTTTCTGTCCTCTGATGTCCACTTTTGTGTCTTGAACCAAAAAAAACAACTAATTTTGTAATTTTAGTTGGTTTTAGTTTGTTATAATAAGAATATGGAAGTATATTAATGACAAATGTTTTTGAAACAAAGCACGTTGAACTGCACTAGTGGAATGTTGGTCCACTCCTCTTCAATGGCTGTGCGAAGTTGCGAAGTTGTTTTTGCAAAAACAAAAGTGTTGCGTTTATAATTTTGTTCAGTGTAAATACATAAATACTTGCATTTTTTTTGTAATTATGTGTAAAATTTGCTAGCAATTTCTAAGTGAAAATTTCCAACAACCATTTTAATTTTTTTTTCACATTTCAGTTCTTAAAGTAACCACTTTTTAATGGTGTGAGGAACATTTTAGTAATCTGAAGAACCTTTTTTTTCACTATAAAATAACCTTTTGTTCAATGGAAAGATTCCATGAATGTTAAAGGATCTTCATGGAAGCATCAATACTAATAACGCACCTTTCTTTTTAAGAATATAATTGGGAAAAAAATGCATTTCATTATAGCTTTCTTTTTTGTGGGAGCTGAAATTCAGCGTGGTTGTATATTTAAGCATGTACATTTTATGTACATTTAATATATTTTAGCACATAGTCAATTGGTAATATTTCACACAATTTCATTATTAAAATTGATATGAAATATTCAGCTTTCAAAGTTAATTTCCAAAATATTAATTAAACAAAAAAATTCAACATTGCGCAACATTTTTTTCCCCTTTCAGGCATTTCAGGATGCTTTCAAAGATATTTGTCATTAATTTACTTCTAAATAAATTTTACATTACTGTTTTTCCCCCTAAGGCCTTGATAATTTTGTCACTGTACCTTTATGATTTTGTATGCAAATGACACCTGGTATAGTTCACGCTCTTGTTCATCTAGTTCAATAGGCATTTCAATCTAAACATTAGATTCACATTTATAATTTGCTCATGCTTACAGTGTATTCAAGTTATGCATTTAACCAGTTCCATCAGAGGATCAAACCTGTGACCTGTCTGTTTCTAGCAGCATGATCTACAGGAACACAGTACACTGAACTGCCCTGTTTAAATGTTTTCATGGCTCTGGTATCAATGCTGTGATGATTTCTGAATGACTGGGGGGAAAGAGAGCTGAGTGTTCAATGTTTGATGATGTTTATATACTGTAGAGCAACAAAAGAGCAAGGAAATCTTATTGTCAGTTTTTACCATAGACAGTTATGCATTGATGTTTTTTCCTACTGTCAGAATTGTGCATCAGAATAACCAATGAAAAGATGATTAATCTGTTGAACAAGTTTTTTCCACTGGCCTTGAGAGTTATCCCAAAAAAAAAAAAAAGGGCCAGAGGTTGTTCTCATTGCATGAACAAAACATGAATTAACTTCTCGTACTGCATTGAGGATGAAAGTAAATGTTTTTTGTTTTTTTTTATGATTCATTTAATTTGTTTTGCTGTGTTACATTTTGTGAGATAAACGTAATGACACACCTCAGCAGTCACTGTATGCTTTACGGGTTTCTATTTCATATCAAGACGATTAACTTGGTTTAGTGTTTTAAACAGTAACAGGAGGGCAATGAATGAAACAAATGCAATACCAAACACTATGACACTGAACAACAGCTTCTCACTTCTTCTGTTTAATGACCTTGCATGGGTTCTAAATGTATTAAAGCATTTCATGTCAAAGGCAAAGTCTCTTGAGCTACAGTACATACAACTTTGTCTTCTGCCCATATTTTATCTTTTTTTTTAATATATATTAAGAGCACTGGGTCTTAATTAGTTTGAGGTGTTCTGTTTCCTTTTGTCCTGCAAACTGATTCAAAGGGATAGTTACTCCAAAAATTATTTGTCATCATTTACTCACCCTCCAAACCTGTATGAAATGCACTACTGTTCAAAAGTTTGGGGTTTTAATGCTGGAAGTCTCTTATGCTCACCAAGGCTGCTTGTATTTAATCAAAAATACAGTAAAACATTAATCGTTATTACAATTCAAAATAGCTGTTTTCTATCTGAATATATTTGAATGTACACTCTAAAAAATGCTGGGTTGTTTCAACCCAAAAATGTAACCAAAATTTAACCCAACAGTTGGGTTAGTCCATATTTGACCCAAAATTGGGTTGAAACAACCCAGCATTTTTAGAGTGTAATGTAATGTATTCCTGTGATGCAAAGCTGAATTTTTAGCATCATTACTCCAGTCTTCAGTGTCACATGATCCTTAAGAAATCATTCTAATATGATTTACTCCTCAAGAAACATTTCATATTATCAGTGTTAAAAACAGTAGTGCTGATTAATATTTTTGTGGGAACTATGATATTTTTTTCCAGTTCGTATTAATTACTGACCCCCCCAAACTGTTGAAGGATAGTGTTTATATAATAGACTGAAGGCTGCGAAAACTCCATAAAAGTATTATAATAGTAGTCCATATGATTTACTGGAAAATGAGCAAACTGCACATTCTTCTAAATATCTTATTTTATGTTCCACAGAAGAAAAACGGGCATACAGGTTTGCAGCAATTTTAGGGTGAGTAAATGATGATAGAATTGACATTTTTAGGCGAACTATCCCTTGAAGACGTGTTCATCATCAGAAAAGCGAGGCTGGTTTCATCCAGGTCCTCCTCCTCAGTCCCATCTGAAGTCATGACCCACCATTTCAAAAAATTTCACATTGAATGGCCTATAAAATTCTCTAAGCTGCTCAATGACTTCCTGGTCAATCTGAACGTGAGTTCTGCCCTTGGACTTGCCCAGACAGCGGGGCTGGCTGCTGCTTTCCGGCTTCTTCAGGCACGGGAAGCCTTTTGTTCGGTTGAATATATTATAAATATAAAAATCTAAAATGTAAAAATGCATTTATCGATGGCAACTTTAATTTTCTTTCTTTTTTGATTCTTTATTAATAACACATTTTAAAAGATAACTATTTACAATAAAACCTAAGATCTGCTCAGAGTCATAAGATAAGCATATTAAAAAAGGAGAGAAAGTAAAAATAAAGTATAAAAAAATGCTTTAATTAAAACAATAATTAAAAAAAAAAATTCTTACCCTGAAGGAAATATTTAGAAATATTTATTTTTACATTTGGCAGATGCTTTTGTCCAAAGCTACCTGCTTTGTGTTCAAGCTATACATTTATTTAATGTATTCCCTGGGAATCAAACCCTTGAAACAAACCATTTTTTTTATTATGACAAAATCTTTTATTATTATTAAATCTTTTATTATGAAAAAAACATCTGAAATTATGTTCTACCATCAAAATACATTGAGTTAGAGGAGTGTAATAATTTGCATCATAAAATATGGGTTACACTTTACTTTAAGATGTCCTTGTTACAATGTAATACACTAATTATACATTTAATAACATGTTATTATACATTAATGTACTTACTATATGGTTAGGGTTCGGATTAGGGTTTGGGACTTGCCCAGACAGCGGGGCTGGCTGCTGCTTTCCGGCTTCTTCAGGCACGGGAAGCCTTTTGTTCGGTTGAAGTAGAAGTGCTTGTCCGTGATGATGCGTTTGAGCCCCAGGAAATCCTGCACGCGGCCCATCTCTCCGGCTGGATCTGTGATGAGCCGCTCCCCGCTGACAAAATGGATCTGCGATAGACGGAAGTACTGCAGCCAGTTCTCCAGGTGGAGGATGTACATGCCTATGCGGATGGCATTCCAGGAGGTGTCCACCATGCCTTGACTCCTGTTCTTGAAAGCTAGTTCCTCAAAAGAAGGGATGTCGGGCTTCTTCGACAGGGTCTGTGTGTAGTCGGAGATCGCCCTTGTGACTGGGTTCCGCACTACTACGATCAGCTTTGTTTCGCGAGACATGTTTGAGATGCGTCGCGGCGCCTCCCGGGTCACAAAGTAACTTGGTGTTTTCTCCATGGTGATCTGACTGTCTAGAGTCCGCGGCATAAGGCCCCTGTGACACTTTACTTTAAGATGTCCTTGTTACAATGTAATACACTAATTATACATTTAATAACATGTTATTATACATTAATGTACTTACTATATGGTTAGGGTTCGGATTAGGGTTTGGCTTAGAGTTACTTGCATGCAATTATGCATAATTTATTGTTATTATAACAGTAAATACATGTAGCGTGTAACAAAGGCACCTTAAAATAAAGTGTTATTTTAAATTCACCAAAATATGAAATAACAGAACGTTTTTTAAATGTCAAATATAACAGCATTAAACACTAACAGCTCTTTCTAATTTTTATAAAAAATAAAAAAATAAATTCCAACATGTTGGAACATGAAATCCACCTCCCAATTTTGGAAGTTATTAAGACAGTGTAAGCTGCTGCCACTACAATTAAGTTGCTTAATATATATATATATATATATATATAATTGTAGTGGCAGCAGCTATATCAATAAACAAAGAAATCAGTTTAAATTACAATTTTAAGTTAATGTAATGAGCAACATTGTCAACAGAACCCATCAAAATAATATTGCCATATAACGCAACTTTAAAAATGTCAATTAAATCCATAAATTAGAATTTTTTTAGTTGCAACCATGCATTTATTTAAGTTGTAATAACAGTAACAGCTATTATGCTCAAACTTAGCAAAAGTACAAAGCAAGAACCCAAGTATTAAAAGTCAGCATGCAACTCCCCATTCATGTCCCTACAGACATGAATGATACATCAAATTGTTGGGGTGTGCTACTGCTTTTCCGAGCAGTCTGACATTTGGCAAATAAAACCAGGACAATATTCTGTAGGAAGTAGGAATCACACTTTTGACTTGAGTAAGCAACCGTCTTGCAATAACCTAGCAATCGCTTAGCAACATGCTTAAAACCACTCACCCATAGTACCTTAGCAACCCTGGCAGCAAACCATTGTGAGTTTTCCACAGGAAAACACCACTCGCATTTCCTCAGAGAGTGTAAAAAATGCATTATATTTATTTGAGGAAACTATATAAGCAACCCTGGCATTCTTTTCACAGCCTTGAGAGGAAAAAGCGAGATAGCTTGTGGAATGTGGTCACCCCTCACATATTAGTGTAGACTCCAGCATGACAAATAGGAATTCAGTTACAGCAAGTGACAAAATAATCAGAGCGCACACATGAGGTTTTAATACTCGCCGGCAATATTTCTAGTCTTTTATCTCCCGGGTGAGTGTGATGCTGAAGGGTATGGGGAAATTATCAAATCTCAGGCACATCCTTTACTCCTGCTCATAAATCACCATCACCTGCATTACAGATGCACAACAGAGAGAAAGGCTTGGGCAAATCTGGGACATGCGAAATAGGTCATTATTTTCGTAAGTTTCTTTACGAAACCATCGAGTCCAACTTTAGAGTTGTTCTGACTTGAACTGATGAACTACACAAGGTGATATCCACTCGGTCACAGTTCTGTTGTTTTAGCAGATAGCTGCTGCCCCGTCAACCTCTTTGAAGGAGTGAGCGTATTAACGGTGCCGTAAGCAATTTTTATGGAACGGCACGCAGAAAACTTCCCTCTTACCTGACAGATATCACTGAACCAGATGTCTTGAGAAATCACATTCCTTTCTGCGACAGCCCTAGGCAGGAAAACTGCTATCTGAATGCAGGATGTTACCGTTTAGCCAGTCAGAAGTCATTTTGAGTGTTCGGCTTCGTTGACATGTGGTGTGCTAACTTGTCTATGCAGCATGGGGTTCAGTGTTTCCAAGTTCTTTCAATGGAAAGTAGCTTAAGCCAGCTTGAAAAGTCGCTAGATGACGCCATACGCTAATTAGCATATTCAGAACATCATTGCTCATATTGCCTATTATCAATACAACTGTTTTCATTTATATATTTTACTGTTTCTGTTGTCAGACAACGGGATGAATATGAAATGTGACTGAAACGCGGTCCGTTAAGACTACATAACCAGCTCTTTCTTCCAAGATGTTAATCCGCACAGAAATCCTGATTTATAATTGAGCCGCCGTCTGATGAAATCAAATACACATAAGATAAAGACAATGGCTGTGCTGTATTTGCATGTAAAATTAGAAAAGCAACAGAATAGCTATTTTAACTGAAAGCGCTGCTCTCTGCCGCTCGGTGAACAGATCAGACGCAGAGGGAAATATGTGTGCTCGCTGAGAAAGCAAGCAGTACCGACGAGTCTCAGAAACTAAATAAGGTTTGTCCAAGAAGTCGCTAGATTTGTTGCTAGGCGCTTTTTTGAAAAAAAAAGCCTCTAAGGGGGTCTGAAAAGTCGCTAAATCTAGTTACAAAGTCGCTAAGTTGGCAACATTGGTGGGTTTTTTTGAAGGAGAAGGCAGTATAATTTAGTGGCGCAAGTTAGCAAAATGGCTAACATTGCTAACAGAACTTTTAAAGACAGAATGAAATGGCAATTCACTCGTTTTCTATATGCATGTTATTGTTATTCATGCATACATTTCATTTTTACTTTTTTTGTTTTTCCAAGCTTGTAATTTTTAAAACAAATATCATAACTGGATCTTCTGTAGTGATGGAAAGTTCGGATCATTTTACTGACTCGGATCTTTGAATCTCGTTCATCACAAGGAGTTAATTAATTTCCAAGCCATTTTGTTAATTTCAGCAGAATATAATTAAAATTATACATGTTAATAAATGAATTCTCCGACACATGTACTTACGTGACGATCACATTTAGAATAAGAAAAATAAACTATAATGCAACTAAGGCCAAATGATGTGAAACAGAAACAATTAATTCATTGAGGCTATACAATCTGTTAGTTCACCTCCCCTGCCAATATGAGTCATTCGTACTTTTGTCACGTCACATCCCTGTAAGCTGAAGTATAAGTGAAGTGACGTGGGGCCAATTATGGTGACCCATACTCAGAATTTGTGCTCTGCATTTAACCCATCCAAGTGCACACACACAGTAAGTCATTTTGAGTGTTCGGCTATGCAGCTATGAAGCTATGCAGTCTGTACCGGAAACAGAATTAATTAGTTCACCTCTTGAGTCTTCGGGTTTGAGTCGTTCGTTCTTTTGTCATGTGCCCACTTAGTAACAAACACAAAAATAATTTATTTACTGCATGCTGTTATTATATGTAGGCATTTTTGCTTTATCACAGTGATTTCCCCCATCGTACGGATAAAGTTTAAAGCATTAATGAACTCACATACTCACATTCAATGATATGACATGACAGAAATTCAAAAAAGTATAAATTGTAAGAAATAAAAATCTACAATTTGAAACCAGAAATGCATCATGTGACTGTTAAAAAAAACTGACTGTGCATGTGTTTGTAAGGAAGATTGGAATCATTAACTTAATGCTGTATTGTTAATGAATGAGATATTCGCTACATTTACAAACCCCTCATATTTTTCTTCCGAGACGGTATTAAACCAAGCTATAAATGATCTTTTTATGTGATTACATCAGCGTTCATCCATTAAATTGAGAATTACAGCTATAAAACAGGATTAGTGAGGGCTTAAGAATTTTAATCTTAGCGAAAGACTGTAATAAAGATGGAAATTATATTGACCGTCTTTATTGTATGGAACACAGGGGTCAGAGAATAACCTCGAGTTTCCACCAGTTGTGACTCATCCCCGATTCATAATGGGCTTTCCTAAAGCAGGAGTTGCCATACTTTACCTCCATAGTCCTGAAAATATTGATCCATTTAGCTTGATTTATAAATGGTGCGTTGATGGCCAGGGTGTCTCTGTTAGCCTTAGCGGTTCAGGGCCAGAGGCAGCCATTAATCTTGCATACGGTGCAATGGAGCTTCACCCACTAAACAACTTTACTGTGTGTTTGAATGCAGAGCACCAATCACAGCCTCATACTGATGCAATGCATACTTCAGTTACATAATCAAACTTGTATTTCTTGCCAGACAGCCATCAAAAATGCACTCCAAAATAACATTTTCTGAGTCTGTCTTATTGAAGTTGTAACACCAGACTTCGTTTTCCTTGCAAACTCTAATATTTCATGCATCGAGAATTTATGCTTTATTCAACTATAATTTTCCTCAGAAAATACTGATTTTATTATGTGAATATTTGTGTGAAATTATTATTAAATTGCACAGAAAAGACATTTCCTTAGAATTGCGTGTCCTCGTATACAGAATATTTATTAAAAGAAAGGCTTCAGTCCAAACTCCAATTTATTTTGTGTTTGCGCCATCGCCTACCTCTGTACTCGCAGTTCTTTAATTCATTGCATTTTCAAGAATCAAAAGATGGCATGAATTTGCCAGTCTGCCTGTTATCACATCACTGATGTGCCTCTCATCTGCTGTCTTGAGATGTGGGCTGGCAGGTGCTCTGTTGCTTACATAAGAGTCTGGTCTTTTAGAAGAAAATTAATTTAGTGAGAAGAGTGAAGGATATGTTAGCTGAAAGCTGGAATAGAGAGGTGCAAATTGCAAAGTGGTGCACAGAAGCGTACTGCTGGGTCCACAGTGAAGACTAGCCAGTGAAGTAGCCATAAGTGGAAAAAGGTCCTGGCACTTTGTAAAACATTTTTTAAAAGCTTTGATTTGTATGTGGCTAATGCAGAAACGAAACTAAATGGTAACCAGCAAAGATTGTGAAATGCAGTAGAAGTAGAGGCTTGTTAGAGCTTAATTTTCACTTTCAATTAAAAATATTAATATTTCATTTAAGGAGCTCTAAATACTACTGGAAGAAAGCTGACTGTTAGTATTGTCATTCATCTCAATGGTAGTTAGTCAGCTGGCACAGGACTACCCAGAAGTACATGATTTGAAATATAAAATTCTATCATAGTTCTGGATGCCTGAACTGTTTTTGAGCCAATCACCTGAGCCAAAATGTGATGTGACTAATTATTCACAAGAAAATTTGGTCATGATAATGCTGATTGGATGATGGAGTCATAAGTCTTAAACTAAGCTGAGCTGCGACAAGAAAGTGGCACTTTTAAGAGCACTATAATACATCTGCTATACTATAATTAAGTATCACTTTCACTATCACTGAGCACGTTTACATGCACACCAGTAAGCTGATAACTCACAAATATCAGCTTATTAAAATAACCAGTTTTCCCCGTTTACATGCACACCAGTAACCTGACAACGCAAGTAGCTGCGTTTACATGACTTCGCTCATATATTATCCTCTCATGCAGTTATAAACGCAGCATTGTGACTGAACCACTTCTACTTCTGCTGCACGAGATGTGAACACATTTTTATAATTTTCTGAGTCATGAAAAGTCTGCTTTTGTGATATATTTCCTTCTTTCTTTACTGCAAGACGTTTGCTCGGTCTAGATGCGCTTAAATCTGCACTAACGATGCGTTCCTGTCACGTATCACACATGCGCACTTCAATAAGCCGACAGAAAGCGGGTTATTGCGTTTACATGCCGTGCGAAATCGGAGTAAGAGGCAAAAAACTACCTGTTTATACTTACGCCGTTTATGACCTTACTCCGATAAAAGAAAACAGGTCACCGCGTTTACATGACCAACTGCGTTTTCGGCTTATTAAGCATGATCGCCTTAAGAACGTGCATGTAAATCGCTCACTGCTGCTTGCAGAAATTTGATCTGAATAGATTGCTTCAAAATCAAATGGTGTAGTTAAAACTATGGGAATGTTTTCCAAAGTCATTGTTTACAACTATGGTCATTACCAAAATGATTAAACAATCTGGTGTTTCCTGAAGCTATAGTTCAGTGACCATACAGTATGTTCTCCTTTTCCCAGACATGTCAACGCTTGTTTAAGGAAATGACTGAAAAGTAGTTTGACCTTTTGTGCATAATTGACCAATCGTGGCGTGCGAAAAGGTGGAATCTACAGAGAACTCAATACATGTAATGTATGAATGCAAACACGCATACATGTAATGTACGAAGACAGTAGAGAGCATGTCAATAGGAAAACAAACCCAAACCCAGACATTTTTAGCAATTTAGAAATCTCTACCAGGACATGTCCAGGAAAAAGAGTCACCCTACTATAGTTCCAATGAATATTCGCAAACAGCATTGCAAACTTGTGTGGTTTGAATTTGCTTTTGTGGTTAGTTTCTAGTTAGTATGACAAGCTATCATGCTTGCTTAAATGCATGACAACACATTTAATTCTACACCTTTTAGTTTGTCAAGAGAAGGAAAACAGTTCTCTTATGCCATGTTTGTTATTTATATAAGAATTTGATTGAATTTTTCAGTTGATATTGAGATAATTAATTAATTACTCAAAACACCTGTGTGACATCATTAACAAAAGTTCTGCTCAACATGGTTCGAAAGACAAATTTGCTACCGTTTCAGAAAACAGTCATGACCAGCTGGCTAATTTCTCCAACGATGCATCACACTAAGCAGTGAGCTACATCGTTGTACAGAAAACAGACATTAACCAACCTTTGCCCATTGTTCTTTACACTACTTAGCATAAGAATAAAAAGACAATCTGAAAGTAAAGTGTGTACATAGAGTCCTGAAATTGCCCTGTAATAGGACTAGGGGTGTGCGATATATATAGTTTGCGATAATATCGTAATTGTTGTTTTAACGATGTGCGATTTGACATTATCGAGTATTTTGCAAAAAACTTTCAAAACACCCCTACAGAGTGCACGCATACATTACGTGAAGTCTAGACTAGAGTGCTGATGATCCCGTCTATTACAATACATTTAGAATGATCACAAATTCAAGACATGGGGGCAGAAAATGTATATATTTATACCACTTCAAATAGCCTAGTTAATCAATTTCACACAAAGAGTGCCGTTTTTTCCTCCAAAAATGACTGATTTCAAATGTGATATTGATTTTTTACAACAGTTCAATAAACAAGAAGTTAATTAAGAGACTTACGCTTTAGACACCATATTTCCTGTTTTTGCGCTATTTAGACAACAAAAAATAACTCCAAACACAACCACAGCACTGTTTTGTGTCCCTGAGCAACATGACGCGGTTTTGTTCCTGAATGAATCAATCGTTTAAATGATTCGGTTCAATCGCATTGACTCACTTATTAATAGTGACTTGCTGCCACCTACTGGCGGTTTTAATTTCACATTCAGAGTATCTTTTATTATTTAAATAATTTCAAATATCAGTATTCAAAAGATAATGGACACTTTTAGAAAAAAAAGGCTTTATAAAGGTCAAAATGCCCATAAAATGTAAAAATCAGTTAAAACTTATTGGAAAATATTGATTTCTATCAGTGTGAACTGACCACTGCACAGAATATGAAGAATATCAAGTCAGCTGTCCACGGCAGTCCTTAAGATACCAGCACAATAACACACTCAGCAAAATATCGTCTAATTATCATTATCGATAAAATCCCAGAAAATATTGAGATATTATTTTTTGTTAATATCGCACACCCCTAAATAGGACTGATTTTAATAGCAACAGCAAGCATGCCAAAAATGTCACTGGCATAAATCCTCTGCAATTACATAATTAATAAGCTTATCGTGGTGTAGCAAAGGAAACATTTTTATCTTCTCCTATTGAGTTAACTTTGAAGTCAGACTCTTGCAGAATTAAAGATAATTAATTCCTAATTGAATTTCTATCATAAACAAGTAAGACATAAAACAATTACCACCAGTTTGAAAACGAACGTTCCTAGGGGACCGTTTCCATCGTAACATTTACTTCAGCTATCTTTCCAAGCCCTGCGTTTATGAGATCACACTATCTGTAGACACAGGTCTACATAATGGAGGATATCCTGATGTCTGGTATCACTGGCTTTCACTTTTAATGCAGATTGACATTCTAATTCATCAGGGGGCTTAGTCACTAATACTGCCAACAGATCCACCACCTCAGAGAAATGAGAAATGACATCAGGCAAAGGTCTGATATTACATCTGAAAGTTACAGTGCTGTTAATTGTCTGCCAGAGCATGATGTATTCCTGTTGTCTTTTCTGCTGAAGAGAAGTTTTCAGAGAGCCGGGCAGCTCTTATGATATGTCTGGGATCTGCTGACAAGGTCGTGAGAACAAGCTCTGTGAATTGCATCAGCTAGTGTCATATTAATACCACCAACCTAAAGTTATCCTCTCAAATTAAAAGTCTCCTGCATGCTCTTTTGTCAGCCCGGGCATCTCTATTCTAGGGCCACATTGTTAGCTGGACGCTAAATGCAAATAAAAAAAAACACAACTTCAGACAAAAAAATCTGACGAGTCTGCATGACGTGGTAAGTGCAAACCAATGTGCCATTCCTACAGAGGTCATTTATTCTGATTAAAAAAGGCTTCTGGCCAACCTGCACGCTGAGATGACTTTCTTCTGCGCCGCACCTTTGTGTTCCACACGTTGCAGTATGTTTGTCTAATAGATGGCAGCACACAGGATGCAGAAGACCTTTTAGAAACTATCTAATCTCATTCTTGTTGGGGCAATTGGAGGATTTCATCCTGACTATGAGATGTGGCTCTGGCAACTTTTGTAAATAAATTAATAATGCATCTGATTTCACAGTGGTGCAATATTCAAAGAGTGTTCGGATGAGAGATACTGTACAAATGAAGTACATCTCTGACAGCGATGTGCCAGCATGATCTCATTTGTATTTGTATATAAAGTGTGGTTTGTAGGACCAGATTTACTAACAGACTCAGGATTTCCTAAAGACATGCAGTGGTGGACAGGAACGGAGTACTTTTACTTTTACTGGAGTAATATTTTATTATACGGATCTGTACTTTTACTCAAGTACTTGATTTGTGTACTTAGTCCACCACATGCAGTGAAAAATTAGTGATTAAAATGCGTGCTGTGGTTTTTGTAGTTGACTGTACGGCATATGCATTTGTAGGAGTTTCCCTTTCAGACAACATTTATGGGAGGAGAGTATTTAAATAAATCACGCAACATGATTTACTAAGGTTTGTGCTAGTCAGATTAATGGTATTTGCACCATTATTTAACACCCAAAAAAGCATATCATAATCCATTTTGCACTTGACATGGCTGCGATAGTTTCACAGTTTCATATATTTGCACAGACACTAAAATATACATAACTGTATGGACAGCATCAAAAACTGTTTACATATTAACACCTTTGGAGATGTATATTTGTGAATCCTTTTAGTTTAATTTAATTAGTTGAATTCATATATTGATTTTATTGTTTAGTCAGTGAGATTAAATATGTTCAATGCTGTCAAATTTATTGAATGCATTTTCCTATTTTGATTTAATGGTTTACAAAATATCAAAATAATAGTGTATTATGACAGAATATTGTCAACTGTGTTGCTATATACCTATTATCTATTCCATTGTTTTATTGTTGAAAAGTGGTTAGTTTTAGGACACACATGGTGTTATGTGCTCAAAAATATCTATATATAATGGAATGCAACTGAAGATATTTTATGTGTCTAAATCTGTGCATATATGTTAATATGTTTACGTTTTAGAAGCAGTCAATAAGTCCAAATAGACTGGTAAGGAAGCACTCCATTGTCACCTATAAATGGCTCCACAACTGACTAGATGCAGTTAGATCATCTCTTTCTTACACACTATCTGATAATACCTTATACAACCAACATAAAGTATTTTAATGACTGGAAAGTGAAAGAAGTTCAACTGTGAAGAGAGACCGTAGGGCCTATAGCAACGTTGATAGTGTCTAGATTCTACTTTGATTCTACTACAAACAGCCCTCACATTAATCTATCATTCTTTGTCTCTTTTTGTAATAGTTTTACTTGTAAATGCCTGCTTAGGTTATCTGTGAAACATTAGGAATATGACTTTGACTGACTTTGCAGCGCCCTATATATATATATATATATACAGGTGCATCTCAATAAATTAGAATGTAGTGGAAAAGTTCATTTATTTCAGTAATTCAACTCAAATTGTGAAACTCGTGTATTAAATAAATTAAATGTGAGCCAAAATCATCACAATTAAAAGAACCAAAGACTTAAACTACTTCAGTCTGTGTGCATTGAATTTATTTAATACACGAGTTTCACAATTTGAGTTGAATTACTGAAATAAATGAACTTTTCCACGACATTCTAATTTATTGAGATGCACCTGTATATATAAAGCCGTTATCATTATACACTGTTCTGATGCAACCTCATGAGGATTTTTCTAGAAGTTCAGACAGACTGGGGAATGCAGCACAGCAAGAGTATAGTCGACTCTGCACTTTGATTGCTGTTTTATGGTGTTTTCTTTTAATTTTGTATTCATGAACCTTCACTTCAAATTGGAACTTGTAAGTCCACCATTTTGATCCTTAGAAATGTCTACCAACGTCTGATGAAAAGGTCAGTTTTGAATGTTCAGTCAATATGATAAACTAAACGCCCTCCTGATGCTGTCTGAGCAGGACTGGGAATAAAGTCTGTTTTCTTCTGCACTGTGCTTGATGCTTTCATGCACTTAAGCACATCTGACCTGTCTAACAATTCTATGCATATACAATCCCAGGATTAAATGTGTGAAGCTATTTGTACTTCCCTCTTTTGCAGGGTAGATTTTAGTCCATTTATGTGTGACGGTGTCCTGAGGTTTGTTTTCCTCTACACCTGCTATAGAAATCTAATGACTCAATCCATGGGTATTAAACTTAACCTGGTCATATTTAGATAATGTATGCTCAGATGCTCTGCAGTATTGCATTAGCTGAAGTCTTGCTTAAACCTACATTATTAACTGGGCAGTTATGCTTCCATTTCTTTCTAATTAATCTAAGCCTCATTGTGCTAATTAAAGTGCTTTATGGCAGGACAGAGGATTGCACAATCATGTTGGTGCAAGTGCTGATCTGATTGGTATTTCAAATGAAAAGCATCAATCACCATGACAAAGCTGCAGGGACATACGCTCACAGCGAGCCTCATTTCCTGTCTCAGTTCGAATGCCTGTCATCACTGACACTCTTAATGAGCCCATCCCAGTTATAACAATATCCTGTGCCTGGGTCTTCCTATGGTCATATAAAGTACTATCAGTTTGTCTCTTATGGCACTTTTTTTGGTTTAATTACATAAATGTTTTCAACAGAGCATTTGCATGGCATCCAACATGTTAAGCACAAACGTTGAAAAGTGTTGTTGGAAACATTTAGAAGTGGGTAGTTCATAAGTCTCGCATAGCCAGACTTTTCAAAACAACATCAACTCAGTTTGCAGCTTTTTCTGGCCAAGAACTGCCCACTTAGATGGGAAGACAGCAGCCAATCACAGTTGGATTTGTTTTTATATGCTGTTTAGGTGCAGGTTTATATGAAATAGTAGAAACGACAAAGAAATTAGCAGAAATGTGTGCAGACTTTGTAAACTGAATATTTGTCCATCCAAAAAGTGGACTCTACTGTACATCCTACGTATTTCCACTAAAATCTCAATTACATGCAAGGTTCCGATATCTGACATATTTGATTCATAGTCTGCTATATCTATCAATCACAATAAACTGCAGTGTAATAGTATATTGTGTATTATAACTATTGTAAACACAACATTTTATTATATTAACGAGTTACGGAAGCTTTAAGTACAGTTAGCATGAAGGTGTATCATATCGATATTGCTTTGATCTATTGTTTACTTAACACTTCCTGAAGATTAGATTTTTTTTTCATTATTGGTCATTATAATGTTTTTAAAAACATCAAAATAAAAGTATATTGTAATTGAATATCGTTACCTGTACAATTACTACATACCTATTAAATATTACATTTTTATATTGTTGAGAAGGGGATAGTTTTAGGACATATGCGTTTATTATTATTATTATATATAAAGCTATATAAAGTCATATAATACTATAATATATATATATCGCAACATCTAACTACTGTGGTGCCTCAGGGCTCTGTTCTTGGACCAC